CCTGAGCTACAGGCAGTTAGATTTGGGTATGTCATTTTAGGCGAAAATTGAAAAAAAGGGTCAGATCCTTAAGAGTTTAAAAAAGGAACAGAAAGGAACCAGCACTTCTTTTTGGTCCGAACCGGTTCAGAACTTATTTTTGCTGGTCGGAACAGTTTTTTTGTTGCAACACCTTCTATAAAGTAACATTAACTCAAGTTAGACCCTATTCTTGAATTCAGACTATGACCTATGGCCAATTTATAAATCCTAATCTGCAATAAATGGGCAACTGGAATAAAATGAGAGTATACAATCAGATTTTGGCACTCTTGCTCACACATTTCCTACACCTGCTTGTGTTATGCTGTTAATTTGGCTGGCACACTATACAAAACAGATGTTATTAGAATATATTAGACACTACAACAATAATCTAATCCCTAGTCCACAAATTATTTAATACTGGATTAGAAACCATATTATCTAATTATAAATCAACGACGGACAGTCAAGCGTTGCGATAGACCAATTGAGTGGTGACCTTTAATGGGCGGCGTGGCCAGATGAGTGATCTGGAATCTTTCAACACCTCGGCTCCCTCGGCCGGGAATTCCTCCTGCTGTAGCCTGGCCACTCTGGAGCAGGTCCACATGGAAAGTAGTGCGCAGTGGAAACTGGCAGCCAAGAAAGCCCCGACTTCGCAGTCAGCAACTCTTCCAGATTAGCATTCCTTCCCCCTGACACATGCACCGTGAAGCAGATTATCATCTGAGCCGACAGGGGACGCACTTTAGAGGAGGAGCAGGGGAGGAGAGGAAGGGGGAATACCTCAGGAAAAGAGAGAGCAAAGAGAAGGGAAGATGGAGAAGTTAGAAAAGTCAGTGAGAGAGGAGTGAGGAAGGCTAAGGGTTAAGAGGCAAATTACAAGTTGTCATTACGACCCACTAGTATTGTAGTAGCCTCAGAAACAGTGACGGGAGTTGTAGTAATACAATTGTGTTGAACAGTGAGAGACAGAATAACAACATCAAAATCCAGAAAAACGCATGTCAAAAATGTTATACATTGATTTGCATTTTAATGAGGGAAATAAGTATTTGACCCCTCTGCAAAACATGACTTAGTACTTGGTGGCAAAACCCTTGTTGGCAATCACAGAGGTCAGACGTTTCTTGTAGTTGGCCACCAGGTTTGCACACATCTCAGGAGGGATTTTGTTCCACTCCTCTTTGCAGATCTTCTTCAAGTCATTAAGGTTTCGAGGCTGACGTTTGGCAACTCGAACCTTCAGCTCCCTCCACAGATTTTCTATGGGATTAAGGTCTGGCTAGGCCACTCCAGGACCTTAATGTGCTTCTTCTTGAGCCACTCCTTTGTTGCCTTGGCCGTGTGTTTTGGGTCATTGTCATGCTGGAATACCCATCCACGACCCATTTTCAATGCCCTGGCTGAGGGAAGGAGGTTCTCACCCAAGATTTGACGGTACATGGCCCCGTCCATTGTCCCTTTGATGCGGTGAAGTTGTCCTGTCCCCTTAGCAGAAAAACACCCCCAAAGCATAATGTTTCCACCTCCATGTTTGACGGTGGGGATGGTGTTCTTGGGGTCATAGGCAGCATTCCTCCTCCAAACACGGCGAGTTGAGTTGATGCCAAAGAGCTCAATTTTGGTCTCATCTGACCACAACACTATCACCCAGTTCTCCTCTGAATCATTCAGATGTTCATTGGCAAACTTCAGACGGGCCTGTATATGTGCTTTCCTGAGCAGGAGGACCTTGCGGGCGCTGCAGGATTTCAGTCCTTCACGGCGTAGTGTGTTACCAATTGTTTTCTTGGTGACTATGGTCCCAGCTGCCTTGAGATCATTGACAAGATCCTCCTGTGTAGTTCTGGGCTGATTCCTCACCGTTCTCATGATCATTGCAACTCCACGAGGTGACATCTTGCATGGAGCCCCAGGCCGAGGGAGATTGACAGGTATTTTGTGTTTCTTCCATTTGCGAATAATCGCACCAACTGTTGTCACCTTCTCACCAAGCTGCTTGGCGATGGTCTTGTAGCCCATTCCAGCCTTGTGTAGGTCTACAATCTTGTCCCTGACATCCTCAGAGAGCTCTTTGGTCTTGGCCATGGTGGAGAGTTTGGAATCTGATTGATTGATTGCTTCTGTGGACAGGTGTCTTTTATACAGGTAACAAGCTGAGATCAGGAGCACTCCCTTTAAGAGTGTGCTCCTAATCTCAGCTCGTTACCTGTATAAAAGACACCTGGGAGCCAGAAATCTTTCAGATTGAGAGGGGGACAAATACTTATTTCCCTCATTAAAATGCAAATCAATTTATAACATTTTTGACATGCGTTTTTCTGGATTGTTTTGTTGTTATTCTGTCTCTCACTGTTCAAATAAACCTACCATTAAAATGATAGGCTGATCATTTCTTTGTCAGTGGGCAAACGTACAAAATCAGCAGGGGATCAAATACTTTTTCCCCTCACTGTATCATACGGCAATTAGTGGTGAAAAGTAGGGTATTGGATAAGGAGTGTTGAGAGGATTTGAAGTCTACAGTGTAAGAGGGTTGTTAAGGAGGCTGTATCCTCCTTGTTTCGAAATACAGCGTTTTGTTTTTAGAGCCTGATTTCACCTAGAGAGGAGTAGTAAGCTCATGGCCTCCTTCATTACCTACATCTATTCCCGTCATTAAATCATAAAACGCCTGGATAGCAATAGGCTACAGCCCGGCCTCTCACGGGCCAGGGGAAGAGAGGTAGAAAAAGAGAGAAAGTGTGGGGGTGTGGAGGGAGGGAGCGAGTGAGTGAGGGGCGATGGCTAAGGAGGCATACAAGAGAGGGGGAGTGTGCCAGTCGGTGTAGGGGAGGAAACTGCTGGCCGCTCAACAGTAGCATTCTTTCACACATAGCTGGAAGTAATCAGAGATCAGGGCCAGAGAGAAATTCAGAGCTCAGTCTGTTTGCTTTGGCCGCACCTCCCACCCTCTCCTCTCTTCTTTCTCTCCCTTCCACCTCCCCATTCTCTTCTCCCTTTCTCAGCCCCCCATCCCAGCCCCGCCAAACCACTAAGAATGATCTCAACATTGTTGCCTGATCCGAGTTCACCTGATACTCACGTTTCCATCCTCTCCAGTGGGAGGAGAGAGAGACAGAGAAAGAAAAGAAACCTAGAGCTAGAAAGAGGGGGAGAGAGCATGACTAACAAATAAACTTTGCACATGAATTGTTGGGTGATTAGAGAGTGGAGAGAGTGTAGTGGGAGCAAAGAGATTTTGAGGTAAATGCTTCCTAAATGGTAAATGCTTCCTAAATGGTGGATGGTGTCGAGGACAACTTCCAACTAAATTTCAATAGCCTTATTGCTATTGTAAAAACAGCTGCTAACACTGCCAAAGCATTTTCGACATACAGTTTATATGTTGGAATGAAAGCATGCATGGATGTGAAGTAATAAACTTGGATTTTCTTTTGCAGTGAGAAACATTTTGGTTTGGTGTTCTTGTGTGTTGGGGGACCATGTTACATTCTCTAGCTGATTCAACTGAGCAGCTATACTTTTTCATACCTTATTCACATCTAAGAGGTTGCTGATTTGTTATAGCCTACATCATGTAATAAACACATTTAAATCATGTTAATTTAAAAGTTTGTGTTTACAATTTCAAAAATCATCATTCAAAGTCAATTTTTCATCTTTTTCATTCTTTCTCCAAAAAACAATTGTCAGATATATATCGGAATCCGAATCGACTTTTGCCTCCCCCATACACATACTATGTTCATCGCAGCTGCTACTACTAATGTCTTATTTAATGACATCTAATGACCAATGTCATCTCCTCCTATCAAAACTCTTATCTCACTTCCTCTAACTCCCATCTTAAGTGGCCTCTTAGCGCATACAGTAAGGGGAGGGGGTGAAGGAATGTGAGTGTATTTGTATTCAAATAGGCTCCCATATGTGGCAGTGATGAGTACAGGCTATTACAGACAGTGAGGAAATACACAGCTGTGCAACAAGCTGAAATATGCTTATCAATAACTTTTCCAAAAGGTGACTGCTGATGTTGACAGATGTTTAATTTACACCCAGGGCTATACAAGAAACGTCAATCATTTCCATAACTCTCATTATGTGTTACTACTGCTCACTCATGATCTTCCTGTGTTCTGACCCTGGCCTGAAGCCCTACACTAGTGAAGGCAGCCAAACATCCGGACTACCTTAAGCACAACGCTGATAGAGAGGCTGCAGGGAGGAAGAAGGGAGGAATATCTAACCGCTTCCTCCCAATAACCATCAATGAAGCGATGTGTGCTACGGAGCAGAACTACTGAGCAAACAGAACAGACCTCACCTCCCTCCGTCCCCACACATGTTCAACACATTTCCCAGCACAACACGATAATGGTGTATAAAAAACAGAGTGAGCGAAAGAGATTGACTAAACAATTCCTGTTCTCTCTACAGCAACGGTACTAATCTGACTCTAGTGTTAGTTAGACTATAGGGTGGTGGCAGAGTATGCGCCCATATCCTATCACAGCTAGACAGACGAGGCTGAAGTGTTAAGAGTGGAGACTGTACTAGTGCAGAGGGAGTGTTTATAAGCACACTCAACTATCACATTCTATTTTGGAGGGAACTACACAGCTGTTGAGTACACTAAGCAAGCACAACGGACAGTGACCAAGCAAAAAATAAATAAAATATTGATTGACACTTAATAAAAAAAAAACTGTATTGTGTCCTACAGAGGTTGTGAGGAGGTGGTCCACAGCCCACTCAGCACGTTAATATCATTTTCACACTATAATGCCGACCCGAACCGTGCTGGCTCGCTTTTCCAGCTTTGTTCCAGATACTACGGGCAATGCTTTACCTGGCCAGCGCAGTACAGTTTGGTTTGGCTCAGTTTAAATCAGCTCAATAGTGTGAACGTGTTATTAACGTGTTAATAACGTGTTGTTAATGTGTCTGTTTAGTGGTGTGGGGCTGACTGGTCAATGCCCACTGGCATCTAGACTGTCCGGGAGCAGCTTGGTGAGGATCCAGGAGCGCAGTAGCTCAATCTCTGGCCGAGAGAGCTGGTGCTGGAGGCCTGGGAACGAGTGGAAGGTGGTCGTCATCCCAGCCTTCTTCAGCAGGGCCGTAGTTTCTTCTCCCCACTTATGGAACACCAACTTGTCCCCTGTCCCATGGCCCTGGAACAGCCCTCTCCTCCACAGCCTAGCAGGGGGAGAAGAGTCAGTCAGACACTTCTAGATTGCCTACTAGCACACTCTATAGGCCCAATATCTCTGTCAGAACCAAGTGCAGCCAACTCCTGATAAATGCAACAGCTTGGGACTGTCATGGAGCTCTGTGAATTTGGACACTGTATATCAATATACCAATATTTCTCTACCACTATCTGTCATTCAAAGGACAGTTTAGTAGATAGTTGTAGTTTTCTGGCGCTCTAATCTAGATTTAGAATATTGTTTGGACAGTTTAGTAGACATTATGCCCAGTGAGAACCTGCCTTACCTGATATACTACAGAGTCCTTGTTGAGAAAGCTGGACAGAGCAAAGACTCCTGCTACGTCAGGGTGATAACGGCAGGCTAGGTGGAGGGCCATAGCTCCGCCCATAGAGAAACCCCCTTTGGACGAGGAACAAGACAAAACAGAACATGTCATTGTACTGGGTCCATTAGGTCTCTTTCTGCAGGTATTCACTGAAAATGTGTATTGAATATTGTATCCAAAGTGCTTTTCCTGGAAAATCTAATTTTTCAACTGTGCATATTGGGAATAATATAAGGCAGCATACATAATAATAAATATATTCATTTCCGTATGAGTAACAGTAGCTTAAGCCATCCTGGCAGTTTAAGCTGTCCGAAGTGGAAAATGCTCTGCCTTTAACTGAGAAATAAAAAAATACATTCAAATGAAACGGACTCCTTAGTTCCACATCATCAGCTTTATCGCTCCTCAGGAGTCGGCACCCGTTCACGAGCCCGTCCTTAATCTCACACATTTGGGTACATCTGGGCACACAGTGTACATTTGGGAAAGTGTGCAAGTACCCATCATCCTGTCAGAGGGGGAAGGGAAGAATGGAGATATGGAGGGAAGGAGGAGTTCAAATGCTTTGCCCCACGAATAAAACATTTGTCCATGACGTCCATCAATGATTCTCTGTTTCTTTCTTTACTTTACCAGCTACACTCTTTGAAAAAAAGGTGCTATCTAGAACCTAAAAGGGTTCTTCGGCTGTCCCCATAGGAGAACCCTTTGTAGAAGCCTTTTTGGTACAAGGTAGAACCATTTTGGGTTCCAGGTAGAACCCTTTCCACAGAGGGTTCTACATGGAACCCAAAAGGGATCTACCTGGAACCAAAAAGGGTTCTATGGGGACAGCTGAAGAACCCTTTTGGAACCCATTTTTCTAAGACCGTCTTTCTGGTGTACTCTCAGTCTCTCACTCCAATCCACGATAACAAACCTCTTACAATCATACATTCACATTTTAATGTCTCCTTTCTTACACCTCTCTGTTGTGATGTTTGGTACAGTGCTGCTGTGTGTTTTCGGTGTGTGTGTGAGCCTATATGTGTGAAGTCATGATTGTGGTGATAGCTTCTCTTCTCTGAGATTTCCCAACGGATCCGTGCTTTTTTAAAGAGCGAAAAACATAAACACAAAAGCCTGCGGCGGAAGCTTTTTCTTGAAAAACTTTTTCCATGGAAAGTTCTGCCGCTTGTCAGTCCGTCAGCCCTGCAAGTGGACTCTGGGTACAGACCACTCCGTTTCTCCAGTATGCAGAGTGACTCCAATGAGTATTTATAGTTAATGACAAAATGTTATGATTTAGGATGATAATATTTCAGCAGTCTCCCAGGAACATGTGTTTTTTGAATCACTTTCTCTGGAGCGGAGTTCAGGGGCTTTTCTGGCGTTCCACACTGGACCTTTCTTACAAACGCTCAGCAGTTTTTTTCTCCTCACAACTATTTCTGTATATTTATATATTTCAGGGCTTGTAGGTTAACCCTTTTCCTCCTGTTCCCATCGGTTTCCCCTTTCATAGACGGCTATCATTTGTTCTCTTACAGAGACATAAAACATGCGATGGCCCCCCACATATTTCCTGTGGGAACTCTTACCTAAGTTCTACCATAGTGTTTATGGCACTTGATCCGAGCGGTTTTATGTCATTGTTATTTACATGCAAACCTGATAACCAAAATATTTGGGAAAAAGGATTTACAGAACCCGAGAATCCCTCCAGAAATACTTTACGGTTCATAATTGGCAGCGTATAAAAGGATAAAGAAACCTGATAACTTGCATTCTTCATTTTATATCATGACAGAGGGAGTTGAGAACATCAAGGCCAAGAGAGAGTGTGGTGTGTGTGGAGAGAGAGAGAGAGAGAGAGAGAGAGAGACAGAGAGAGAGAGAGAGATCAAGCAAATGGGCAAGTGGAGGGGTGCATAATAGACACATTCAGGGGGGTCATGGAGTTAGGAAGTCATGAGGAAGACAAAGAGTGAGGGAGAGAGCATACAGCCAGAAAGAGACAGGGAAACAGACTGAGTAAGACAGATCTAGTAGCAGCAGTAGTAGTAGTGTGTGTGTGTGTGTGTGTGTGTGTGTGTGTGTGTGTGTGTGTGTGTGTGTGTGTGTGTGTGTGTGTGTGTGTGTGACAGTACCTATGATCATCCTGTGTTTGGGTACTCCTGCCCTGACCTCCTCCTGTATAACCGCTCCCAGGGAGTTGGCCATGGCGTCTATAGACTCCAAGTGCTCCAGACAGTCCCGTGAGATCTTGTAGCGGTCAAACCACACATTGGACAGAGCCCCCCGCATGGGTGTGTATGGCCTGAGGGGTCAACAGAAGACAGAACAATATTCAAAGTTTGGTTATGTAACGAGGAAAGGTTTGGGCAGTGAGGGACACATGGGAGGATGAGAAGATTTATCCCTTTCCACACTATGGTGCTGACCCGAACCGCACTGGCTTGGAAATGATCTATTCACATAGTCCATTCATCTCGCCGCGGTAGTGTGAAAAGGGTATTAGGCTATTTAGCCTATTTAAATTGCTGTTCAGGGCCCATATTTATAAAGCATCGGAGTAGGAATGCTGATCTGGGATATATAATCGTAATCATTATTACCTAAAAGGCTAAACTGATCCTAGATCAACACTCCAACTCTGAGATGCTTTATGAATACATGCCCAGGTGTTCTACCTGTCTGGGTTAGTTAAGTTATTTTAAAGATGACAGTTGAAGGGCTTTGTCTCTGTGTTGAGGGTTTCAGCAGCTTGACTGCAGGACTGTATATGGCATTTACCTGGCTGGAGCTGTGGGATATACCACTCTGATGTGGGGGAAATCCAGGTCTGGTACCGAAACCTCTTTGACCCATGCTCGCACTCCCTGTCCAGTGTCTCCTGCATGGCAGAAGTGAACAGTTAGCCAATATAACTGACTCACCAGTCACTAGGCTTACAGAGCAGAACTTTGGTGTCACCCACGTCCCTTTCACATGTTGCTGACTGTTTTTGGCATAATCCGTATATTGAATATTGGTGATACCATAATTATATATTTTTTGTTGTTAAGTTGCTCACATTTATTTCATGAAAAGGAATTTACTATTATATATATATTTTTTTATATTTGATAGATTTTTATATTTTTTTTAACATTTATTTTATCAGGGATAACAGATAAATACATAGCATTATTTTTTCTTCTCTTGTGATCAAGGCCAAATATTAAGTATCCTTAGAATAACATTTCCCAATGCTGACCACTCAATTGAATTTATCTATCTACGTAGCTACTGTTAGCTACATTATCAATTTGCCACAGTAGGCCATATCATAGCTCAGTTACAGTTGCGTTGAAGCCACATAGCTTGTATAGTTATAAAGTTCAAAGACAGTCCTGTCTGTCCTTCACTGTACAAAAGCTTTCAGTATCTCATTTGAAGGTACTCTGGCTATGCTATAGGCTAGGCTATAGGTAGCTAACCTACTACAACTCCTAGTTATTATGAGGCTAGTTCAGCGTAGTTACTGTTGAAGAAATGTCACTAAACATCGAGCGCATTGTAAAACGCAACCACCTGAGCCGTGTAAGAAGATGACTGATGCAGAGTGTTTCCCTGTTGGAGATACAACACACTTGTGTAGGAGCTTGCTGCTCGGTACGGTAGCCATGACTTCTGTCAGTCTCGCGCGAGACTACAGAGCAGCCAGACAGGCATCTGTGATTGGATAGACTCAGTGCACAGATGACCAAAACCTAAACTCCCGATAGGTTGTTCGACTGCAACTTTTACTCCATCCCGATGATACAAAGATTAGGGAATTTACGCTGCATGCGCGCATGCTCCAATGCGAACAGGTATTTGCTACATTATTTTAGTTTGGCTATGAAGGCTATATTTGATGTTATTACAATACTTTGACATTTTCAAGATTCAAGATTGAATAATTTATTTCCATACCAACCGAAGTTGTTCAGGATCTGACTTAATTGCTGCACTTCATTAAAAACAGGGACAAAAATACACATATAGTACATTTATTTTTATAGCCTATAAATCTTTTGAAAATACAATTACATTGTGCAAACACTTATTTGACTTATAAAAATATAAAAGTCTACTTGCTGGCATGTGTGACCATTTTCACTTCCCCTTTATGTCAGAATTCATGGTCAAGGACCAATTTCCCCCTGATGCTATTTAGGGACACTAAAGTATGAGCTTATGTAGCCCCACAAAAACTGATAAAGCACTGCTCGGTCCAGTGTTTCAGTGTGCTCTATCATGTGTGCAGTGATTTAGATAAATGTCTGGATCTACAAATCAGTTTAAACACATTCTAAGGTCTTATCTTTTATAAACATAGGCCTGTTTTACTCAGATTCTGGTCATTTTCACTTGCCTTGGACCACACAAACTGTGTCCCAACCCTGACCCCCAATACTGTTGCAGAGAGGGATCAGCTTGAAAGTGGGTGGCTATCTTGCTGTGCCAAATACCTAAACTATAAACCCACTCAGGGGTCATTCCCACCATTTTGTGTAATAGAACAGACCATAAACATTTCATGAACCTTTAACTGACATGTTTTACATGGGATGCTCCCCTCTTTAGAATAGACTGTTGATGTGAAACTTGATATTAGGCCTACATGTCTGGGTCATGGTGTCTGTGCCATGTAACATTGTTGTCCTTTTATTCCTTATTTGACAGGGCACAATGGTTGCAGGACAAAGGAATGCACAGGTCTCTTTGGAGGTTGATCAATGAGTATGTGTGAATATGGGGTAAAAACATGACACATTCACTCAATCATTAACACACTTTTTAAATATATATATATTTTTTTTTAAATCAGTGAGCAGCACAAATTTGTGCTTTAATTCTTTTTATGATCATTTCTTGGTTTAAGTAGCTTCACTACGTAGACAGAGGTGAAATAAATATTCAATAAATCTCATGTGGGTTTTGTGTGAGTTGTTCAAAAGATCAAAATGTATTTTATGTTTAATTGAAGCCCATTGTGTGGCCTTGTTCTGGATGGCTCGTGTTATGGATGGCATGCTGGAATGAATTCCCTCTGAGTGAATCATGCTGCTGACTGATAAGTAAACTCACTGTTGTCTTTCAACCTGGATTCAGGGGTAGACGTAACGTAGTAAATGTAAATCCGGGACACTCCTATTAGTATGATATGTTACGTTTTGTATGGTATGTATTAATTTGTGGATGTCCATCATCTATTTTGTATGATATATTACGAATTACAATTTGTATGATATGTTATGAATTGCAATTTGTACAATATGTTACTAATTGTAATTTGTAGAATATGTTACAAATTTGCAAAAACTATGATATGCTCCAATTTGTTGTGGCTAACATTAGCTAGGTGGCTAGGTGGCTAACACTAACTTTAGCTAGGTGGCTAACGTTAGCAAGACTAGGGGTTAAGGTTAGGGTTAGGAGTTAGGTCAGAGGGTTAAGGTTACAGTTAGGGTTAGCTAACATGCTAAGTAGTAAGTAGTTTAGCTAAAATGCTAAAATTGTCCATGATGAGATTTGAACACGCAACCTTTGGGTTGCTAGACATTCGCATTATACACCTTCCCATCCACCCTGACCAACCACTCTACTTTTGGCTTTGCCTTAAGTAACCTTCTGTGTTATGTAACCATACCAAACATAATATATCACACTAATTTGAATGTCCCGGATTTATGTTAACTCTGTTGCGTCTATTCTATGAGACAAAAGTATCTCACCTCACACTTTATCGTCAGTGTTGTACTCATGCGTGCCTATCTTACATACCAACATGTCCCTGTGCTAACCTTGCCCAGCTCTATCCTCACCTGCTTGTTAGTGGCTACGATAGCATCTGGGTGTGCTCGTGTTGGTGTTAAAGTGTGCTACCTTGCGTCCGTGAGATACCCGTTGCAGCACTGTGATAACATATATTTGTGAGTTTTTGCAGGTTTTAACCAGACAGTGAAAAGAGATCAAATGAGGTTGCTTGTTCTAAAGATAACTTTAGCACTCATACCCCTTCCCCTCACAAACAAGCACTCGCTCATTCAAATTCTAACTCAAGTTAACCCATGCACCCTATGGTTAGCTTATTGTTGTTTAGGTTATTTCTAATTGTACTATTTCACTGTAGATCCCCGATCCCAGCTAAACCTGCCTTAGATAGCTCCTTTGTCCCACCCCCCATACACGCGGAGACTGACTCAATTGGTGCCTCTAGTGATGCTATCTCTTTCATTGTTACCCAACGCTTAGGTTTACCTCCACTTTACTCATATCCTTCCATATCCTTGTCTGTACATAATGACCTGAATCTTTTCTACAACGCCCGGAAATCTGCCCCCTTTATTCTATGTACCCAACGCACTAGAAGACCAGTTCTTAAAGCCTTTAGCCGTATCCTTATTCTAGTCCTCCTCTGTTCCTCTGGTGATGTAGAGGCTAACCCAGGCCCTGCAGCCCTCAGTATCACTCCTACTCCCCAGGCGCTATCATTTGTTGACTTCTGTAATCGCAAAAGCCTTGGTTTCTTGCATGTTAATATCAGAAGTCTACTTCCTAAGTTTGAGTTATTCACTGCGTTAGCACACTCCGCCAACCCCGATGTTCTAGCAGTGTCTGAATCCTGGCTTAGGAAGGCCACCAAAAATTCTGAAATTTCCATCCCCAACTATAACATTTTCCGTCTAGATAGAACTGCCAAAGGGGGTGGAGTTGCAATCTACTGTAGAGATAGCCTGCAGAGCTCTATCATACTATCCAGATCTGTGCCCAAACAGTTTGAGCTTCTACTTCTAAAAATCCACCTTTCCAGAAATAAGTCTCTCACTGTTGCCGCTTGGTACAGACCCCCCTCAGCCCCCAGCTGTGCCCTGGACACCATATGTAAATTGATTGCCCCCCATTTATCCTCAGAGTTCGTACTGCTTGGTGACCTAAATTGGGATATGCTTAACACCCCGGCCATCCTACAATCCAAACTAGATGCCCTCAATCTCACACAAATTATCAACGAACCTACCAGGTACAACCCTAAATCCGTAAACATGGGTACCCTCATAGATATCATCCTGACTAACTTACCCTCTAAATACACCTCCGCTGTCTTCAACCAGGATCTCAGCGATCACTGCCTTATTGCCTGCGTCCGTAACGGGTCCGCGGTCAAACGACCACCCCTAATCACTGTCAAACACTCCCTAAAACACTTTAGCGAGCAGGCCTTCCTAATTGACCTGGCCCAGGTATCCTGGATGGATATAGATCTCATTCCGTCAGTAGAGGATGCCTGGTTGTTCTTTAAAAGTAATTTCCTCTCAATCTTAAATAAACATGCCCCATTCAAAAAATACAGAACTAAGAACAGAGATAGCCCCTGGTTCTCCTCAGACTTGACTGCCCTTGACCAGCACAAAAACATCCTGTGGCGTACTGCATTAGCATCAAATAGCCCCCGCGATATGCAACTTTTCAGGGAAGTCAGGAACCAATATGCACAAGCAGTCAGAAAAGCAAAGGCTAACTTTTTCAAACAGAAATTTGCATCCTGTAGCACTAACTCCAAAAAGTTTTGGGACACTGTAAAGTCCATGGAGAATAAGAGCACTTCCTCCCAGCTGCCCACTGCACTGAGGCTAGGAAACACTATCACCACCGATAAATCTACAATAATCGAGAATTTCAACAAGCATTTTGCTATGGCTGGCCATGCTTTCCACCTGGCTACTACTACCCCGGCCACCAACTCTGCATCCTCCGCTGCAACTTGCCCATGCCCCCCCGCTTCTCCTTCACACAAATTCAGACAGCTGATGTTCTGAAAGAGCTGCAAAATCTGGACCCCTACAAATCAGCTGGCCTAGACAATTTCTTTCTAAAACTAGCTGCCGAAATTGTCGCAACCCCTATTACTAGCCTGTTCAACCTCTCTTTCGTAACATCTGAGATCCCCAGAGATTGGAAAGCTGCCGCGGTCATCCCCCTCTTCAAAGGGGGTGACACTCTAGATCCAAACTGTTACAGACCTATATCCATCCTGCCCTGCCTTTCGAAAGTATTTGAAAGCCAAGTTAACAAACAGATCACCGACCATTTCGAATCCCACCGCACCTTCTCCGCTATGCAATCCGGTTTCCGAGCTGGTCATGGGTGCACTTCAGCCACGCTAAAGGTCCTAAACGATATTATAACCGCGATCGATAATAGACAGTACTGCGCAGCCGTCTTCATCGACCTGGCCAAGGCTTTCGACTGTGTCAACCACCGCATTCTTATTGGCAGACTAAATAGCCTTGGTTTCTCAAATGACTGCCTCGCCTGGTTCACCAACTACTTCTCAGATAGAGTTCAATGTGTCAAATCGGAGGGCCTGTTGTCTGGACCTATGGCAGTCTCTATGGGGGTGCCACAGGGTTAAATTCTTGGACCGACTCTTTTCTCCGTGTATATCAATGATGTCGCTCTTGCTGCTGGTGACTCTCAGATCCACCTCTACGCAGACGACACCATTTTGTATACATCTGGCCCTTCATTGGACACTGTGTTAACAAACCTCCAAACGAGCTTCAATGCCATACAACACTCCTTCAGTAGCCTCCAACTGCTCTTAAACACTAGTAAAACTAAATGCATGCTCTTCAA